TCAATATTTTAACCACCAGTACCCCTGGCTGTCTCTCTGGTATGTAGAGCTCCAAGAGTACATCACAAGGAGAACTGACCTCACCTGTGCAGTATGGGAAGGCTCCCCGGAGAGGAGACTTGCCCTAAAAGATGAGATGTTAACCCGGCGAAAGGGTTGGGGTAGGAAAGAGCAAACAAGGGGATACAGCAAAGAGCCCTGTAATCAAATGATTATAGCAATAGTAGTAATATTAGCATTACAGTGAATTGATACGAAGCATGGATAATTGAGTAAAGATAGATATTCTTAAGCACTTTGTGGCAACATGTGTTACCCCCATTTTATACAGGAGAACATTAAGTTCCCAACAAAGTAAGTGAATTTCATGGGTAGCAAAGCCAGCAGGTCTGGGTTCAAATCTTGACTCTGCTAAGAGTTACAATTAAATGAGATGTGTGTAAAGTTCATAGACCACTCCTAGCACATAGTGTGTGCTCAATTAAATGTTAGTGATTTCTGAGTCCCTTCAGTTAATGTCAATATTCAATTCATGTCAATTAATTGTTGTCAGCATTCTCTAAAGGCCAATTTGATTGGAGGAAGGACATTAGTGTGGGAGATGAGATCAGTGGAGAAAGCCACGACAAGAAGAGCCTCAAGTGCCAGACTAGAGCTTGGACCTGGTTCTGCAGACACAGGGCATCCCAGGAGGTTTCCAAGCAAGGGCCTCCCAAATAAAACTCATTTACCCTCCCAGGAGACAGCTCCCAAAGAGATGAGAGAGGGGCACATGATCTGCTCCAAGTCCACTCTCCTCCCTGAGCAGGGGGCTATCCAAGGTAATCTGGGTCAGATTAAGCCTTGACTGCAAAAGGACAGAGAGTAAAAAGAAAAAACAATTTCCACCCAGCAGGAGAAATAGCTTTTTCTCCAGCAGGAGACTTTAATATAAGTCTTTAAGCAACCATTTTAATATGTACAGTAATCTCATTATCACAGATAGAAATTCTTGAGTCTCCTCTCCAAAAACAAAAAACTATGACTTTAAGGCCTGAGTTTTCCAATTGTATGACAAGTTTATTGAACTAAAGAATGGTGTTGGGAGGTCTCAGCTGCCTTAAGGACCTCACGAGCTCATGGAGGAGACAACTACAAAAATAAGAAATTATAATGCAGAGTGCTCTATGCTGAGATAGATTCTTCTATCTATCCACAGGGAAGGAGTGCTCAGATTAGAGAATGGCTCCTAATCCTGCCTAGGATAGGGGCAAAGAAGACTTCCTGAAATTAGTGAGAACTGGAGGGGCTGGCCCCATGGCTTAGCGGTTAAGCGCTCCGCTGCTAGCAGCCCGGGTTCGGATCCAGGGTGCGCACTGACGCACCGCTTCTCTGGCCATGCTGAGGCCTCGTCCCACATGCAACAACTAGAAGGATGTGCAACTATGACATACAACTATCTACTGGGGCTTTGGGGGGAAAATAAATAAATAAAAATTATAAAAAAAACAAAAAAAAGAACTGGAGGACCAGTCTGGCAAAGGGGAGAAGGCTGTTCCAGGCAGAGAACAGCATGTGCTGAGACTCAGAGTATGCAGTCACCAACTCAAGTAATGCCAACCTCTCTTTTCTTTCTGCAATGCTGAGACCTCAGGATGAAGCAAAGCTCAGAGAGCACAGGTAGGTTATAAGACCTGAAGCACCAGGACTTATGCACTGCTGTTTGCATATTTCACAATTAATTGATGAAAGTTTTAAAAATCAAAAATAACCAAGTACAATGCATGATTCTGGAATGGATACTGGACCAGAAAAATATATTTATTTTTCTTCCTCTATAAAGACATTGTTGGAGCAATTGGCAAAATCTAAATAAGGTCTGTAGACTAGATAAAGAAGTGAATAGATGTTCATTTCCTCACTGTGATAAATGTAGTATAGTTATCTAAGAGAATGTTCTGGTTTTTACGAAATACACACTGAATGATTTAAGGGTAAAGAGACATCATGTCTGCAACTTAACCTCAAATGGTTCGGAAAAAAATAATATTAATACTGAAAGGATGACAAAACAAATGTGGCAAAATGTTAATATTTAGAGAATTTGGATGATGGATATTTAGGAATTCTTTGTACTATTCTTGCAACTTTTCTATAAGTCTGAAATTATTTTAAAATAAAAAAAAACTTTAAGAAATCAGTCAAGTGAAACAGAAAGAAGGAAGGAAGAAAGGAAAGAAGGCAGAAAGGAGGGAGGGAGGGGAGGAAGGTAGGCTGGAAGGAAGTAAGAAAGGAGGAAGTGAGGAAGGCAGGCAAATGTACCCCGGGCTGCAAAGGGCAGCAGGTTGTTTCAAGCTCCAGCAAAACAAAAAACAAACCAAACCCCACCCTCCCCCCCCCCCCGCCACACACACACATGCACACACACACACACACACACACACACAAACCCAAAAGTAAATAGATGCAGGAGAGACCACGGAGAAACAGTAGTAAACTTTGGCTTCACAGAACAGATTCCGACTCACAACTCCTTTCCCAAGGGCTGTGTGGCCTTGGCTATGCTATGGGCCCTCTCTGAGTCTCAGTTCTCTTACCTGCAATCCTGGAAATCACGGCCTCACATCGGGGTTGCCAGGATTCTCTAACAGTAACAGTAAGCAGCTTCTGTTCACTCAGCACCACCCGCAAGCACTTTTCCATATGCTTCACATACACCGAATTGTTTGATCCACACACCAGCCTATGAGGTTGATAGTATTACCCGTTTTACAGTTGGGTAAACTGACGCACAGGGAGGCTATGGAGCACACCAAAGGTCACAAGTTAGGAGCGGATGAAGCCAAGAGGAGCAGCCAGTCTGGCTGCAGCAGGGAATCAAGGACCAAGTGCAGGCGTGGAACAGAGGCTCACTCAAGAAGCAGCCAGCTGGTAAAGCAGAGGGACTGAGGTTGGGTAGGAGACCCTGTCTGTCTTATACTGACCCCCCACCAAACAGCCATGGAACTGTCCAGAGACCAATCTCTGCACCCCCAGGGATCCCTTCCATAGGGTTCTGGGGTGCTGGATGCCAAAGCCACCCCCATCCACTGTCCCTAACATCCCGCAACATAATGTGGGGGGCCGTGATGGACATAACTGCACCACCAGATACTGTGGCTACAGTTAGGATCAGTCAGCTCAGCTCTTCTGCAATACCTGGGGGAATATTGCCCTGTCCTTCATTTTTAATGTTTCATTAATACATGAATAAATATTGGATGTTACCATCACTACCAGCACCCAGTCATTAACGCTGCATTGATAAACGGCTTTCGTTATCACAGTGCCATCCAATACATGTGGGCTTACTGTATGCCAGACACCAGGCAGAGCACTTTACCCGGATCATGCCTTTGAACACTCAGCAGCCCTAGGAAGTAGGTAAGATTTATGATCCCCACCTTTTAGAGATGAAAAACTCCAAGAGTCACCTGCCCAAAGTGACCCGGCATGTTGCCGAACCTGATACAGCCCCAGGCAACTGCTTCAGAAAAGGCCTCCATGTGATGCAAACTTCAGACCCTTCCCCCAGATTGGAAGGTTCATTGCATTCTCCCCTTGCCACCAAGCCTGGGATCACTCAGCTCAGAACCTGGCCATCTTGAGAAAACACATAAAAAAAGACGGCTCCCACAGCTCCTCCAAGGCCTCACCCCCAGCCGGACCCACAAGTAGCCAAGGACACCCAAGGGCCCCTCACCTGGAGGGCTAGTCCATCTCCTCTCTTGGGCTTTCGAGGTCGGGGCTGTTGATTTTGCTTCATGCTGTCCTGGCATTTGGTCCAGCACTGTACACAAGATGGCTTAATAGGGCTGCCAAGGCCCCTGGGTCCCAACACCTCAGAGAGGAGTGCCAGCCCAGCTTCCTAATTGCCAATTGTCTCACCATGGCAACTCACACCTGGGCTGCTCTAGACCAGCTGCACCTAAAAACAGTCGGTTTTTCATCCTCCACTGCAACTTCGGACAAGACCCTTTAGGAACTTGACCTTAAGGCAACCAACTAAAATCATGGGGGTGGCCATGGTTACGACCTCTCACATATGAAGAGACTGAGGCTCAGAGAGGTGCCAAGTCCGACTAACGCTCAATTGATACTCTATGTACACCTCGTTCACACACCTTCCTCCCTCTGCCTGCACCAGCTGACCAATATTAACCTCTAGAGAGGTACTGAAATCTTCATCAGCTCCTTTCTCCTGCCCAAAGGATAGAAGTGGTGAGACATGAGGGTTATGGCACGATGGGCTCTGGGCTTGGGACGCCTCGTCTGGGGGGCCCCAGGTAAACTTTCAGATGGAACTGCTGCCAGCAGTTGCAACATTAAGCTAAGAAAAGCAACAGGGACATGCTCTGCACAAACTGAGGCTGCAGGCAGCTGTTAGAATCACGGGGCCACTCCCCACCAGTTCTCTTACTGGGGTCAAAGTCCCCTTACTGAATGTGGCTGAACTGCAAGACAACTTGGGAGCAGTGGAGCAGAGGAATTCCACAAAGGCGTGAGGAACTGGGAGAAATCAGCCCTGGGATTCTTGCATTGTTAAACATCTTGATCAGCTACCCAAGAGCTGTAAGAAATAGTCTTGACATGGCTGTTACAGACATCAAGCCTTTCAATCAACACTCCAGTTACTTGTATTGGAAACCAAGGTTTAGAAACCCATTCACTAGGCCGGCGTGGTCCCTGGAGCAGCAGCATGGAATTCTTAAGCTGCGCCCCCGACTTAATGAATCAGAAACTCTGGAGATGGGGCCCAGAAATCTCTGCTTACCAAGCCTCCCAGAGGATGCCGATACACTGCAGTGTGGGGACCAGGTCACTAGCTCCACGTCTGCTTGGGGTCACCATGGTATTCCTGCACTGTGCTTGTTGAATGAATGAATGACCTACTTAAGCCACCCACCTTTCCACTGTAACCAGGCCCTCCCACGCCCCACCCATCTGACCTGCAAAAGAACAAAAGGGACACCAGACTGTTATAGAGAAATACTGATTTTAATTCAACATAAGGTAAACTCTAGGCATTCGTCATCTTTCAGCCTAAAAATTAGCAAAACTGTTGAAACAAGGCACAACTTTTCCCCATACTTGTTACGTGGCTCCAGTTACAAAAAAAAATTTTGAAAATGTTAAAACATAAAAATAGAAGTTTGAGATTTAAAAAAAAACAAAGTATATAAAAAAACTCCCACAAAACCTGTCAACGTTGTTCCTTAATTCTACAAAATAGCACCAGTAGGAAGAGTAAAAGGTGTTAAAAACCATTACGACAGCATTTCTGAAATGCAGCTTGTCCGACCTCCCATTCCCCCTAAAAACGACTTATCGTGGAATAAAAAACGACTTTAAAACCTGGAGGGAGGGTCGAGCTTTTTCTTGTAGTTTCCCCCTGCAATCTCTTAGATGAGGGGAAAGTGCGAGGAATGTGCTTCTGCCCCTGGCTGTCACTGCTTCTGAGTTTAGAAAATGGCTGAGGAATTAGGGTGTCGTGCTTCTCATCTGGTGACCTGTGCCTGCAGAGTAGTCTGGAGGGTGCATCTTTTTTGGTGGGGGAGGGGGGTCTTACCTAAGCTTCCTCCTTCACTCCCCTCACATGGGGAAGAGGGAGGTAGCGAGGAGCCACATCTGTCTATATAATATATGGCAGCTTATAACCCAGCCCACCCCTTCCTGAGCTCCCCGAAGGGTTCTGTTGCAGTCACTGGGAGGGACTTAGCTAAGGGTGGCCCTGCCCTTGGGTTTGTGGGGGAAAAAGTAGCCCTGAATGTGATGATGATGTCATCCCTGCTGAAATCATCATCGTTGTGGAAAATACTCTCAATGGGCCCCGACATCGCATCCCAGCCCTTTATACTGAGGCCGGGGGACATGCCAGGGGAAATTCAAGAAAGACATAGACATCATTTCCTTTTCTGCTAGCCCTAGAAAAAAACATCCTGGGCCTTAAAACGTCCCTTAGCTACATGTCTACCACTGTGCACTCCTGGAAACGAGGAGCCGCAGACGTTTAAAAAAATTAAAGTCCTGCAATAACTGTCTTGGGTGATTTTTCAGCATTAACCTGAGTACTGGAGAGCTGTCGGCACTGTGGTTTTGGTATCTTAGCCATCGTTTCTCTGAGCGGTAAACCCAGGAGGGAAAAAAAGCAATGTTACTACCTACTTCAAGTTTTAAAGTTTTCGGAGAAGACAAAATGAGCACCGTTGTTCGGCCGCTCCGAGCGGCCAGGTCTGAATTGTGCACAAGGAGGTGGCACCTAGGGCTCCCCCTACCAGGAGGGGACCAGGTGGCTCTGCTCCCACCGAGGTATGCGGTGTGACCCCACACAGCTGAGCTGAGGAAAGGCAGAGCCCGGGCTGCACCTCCTGGGTCCTGGCTCTGCCCCACAAGCCCCAGTGCCCCGGTGTGCCTGGGGGACTATTCACAAGCAAAGTAGTCCTTCAGGGGGGCGAAGAGGTGTCGGATGACAGGCACACTCCAGGACCTCCCCAGCAGCTTCTGGCGGGCACCACGGCCCATGTTGGACACATCCGTGTAGTGTACGGGAAAGCCGAAGATCCTGGGGGGCACCAGAGTAAAAAGACAGGGAGTCAGAAGCGCCCCCTCCAGCTCACTTAGCACCTCTGGGAGATCCTCACCATGGCCAACAGGGTGCCACTCTTTCTGCCCTCTGTCCCATCCCTTCCGTCAGGCCCAGTGGGCCTTCTCATGAGCCCTCTCTTGACCCCCTGGGTCAGGTCCACCGGTTCTTCAGAACACAAACGATTGTCACGAGGGCATGGTCCCTCAATGAAGGTGCCTGTTTTATGCATCCCCCAGGACTAGCACTGTGCTCCTGGCACATAGCTGGTGATCAGTGGCCTTTTCTCCAATGAACGCATGCTGACAGCCAGCAGACAGACATGTATCTGTCTTCAAACCACAAGGTGACAGAAGTTAGGCAATTTCCTTAATAATGAATGAGGACACTGGCAAAAATGGACCTTATTTTCAATCACCAGGTTCTCAGGTAATTTACCGTGAGCACACTGAAACATCCTGTGTTTTCTTTCCCTCTTCAAACTCAGTAGGTAGAAAAGGGCCAAGCCAGACTTGATGGCAGGTGGCATCAAATATACCAAGAGCCTTCTTTATGGGATTCTACCAGGCCTGCTAAAAGGCTCCCCATACACTGATTTCATCCTTTCCCAGGTTTACGATTTCATACTAAAAATCACACCAGTGGGCCAACAGCTGAACGGGTGTTAAGAAACATGCCAAAGTTGCAACACCTTGGGCCTGTCTTGCTTTGCCCACATAGTGACAGCCATCTGCACCAACCCTCGCATCACAGGTCCAGCCTAGCCTGTTAGGCCTGAGTCTCAAAATACAGAATCATGCACAGCGTGAATGGGCCAAGTTCTTTCTACTGAAAAGAACTTACTTTTATACTAAGAAAACTATTGTTAAGTCAAAGAGGCTGTAGAACTGAAATATCTGGAATGAAAACACTGTTTCAAACTCTTCAGGACCCAGCCAAAAATGTAAAGAGGAATATTCATAGCCCTTACTACATTTCTAACAACAGTAAGAACAAAATAAACAAGAAAAACAAAAGGAGTGCGAGAAAAAAAAAAACTGAAACCAGAACAGGGGAAGTAAAACCTGAGAGCTGGTTCTTTGAATCAAAATAGATAAACTACCAACTTAGCCAAATAAATGGGAGAGGGAGCAGACAGTCTGTGGCTAAGTAGGAACTGGCTTTCAAATGAGCAAGGTGGCAGAAGGACTCTTCTGAGAAAGAGCAATGGCATGCTGGTGGGGTTTGCTTTAGCTGATTGTTCACACATCCTAGTGTCCCAGCAAGTTGGGACAAGCAAACGCCAGGGCAGTGCAGCCAACAGACAGATGGTGCTGATGACCTCATGTTTCGGATTCCCTGCCACCACCACCCTTCTGCCATTGCTGCCAGGAAATGAAGACTGATGCTGAAGAGGTATTACTTCCAGGCCCACTAACAGAGGTCAGTGAGACCATGCAGAATTAGGGCAAGCACCTGCCCATTTGTGCTGCTGGCCTTCACCTGTTCTTCCCCTTTCTCTGTCTGCATGATTTCCCTCTCCACGGGCAGCCCTGCTCACCTTTCTAGCTCAGTGCACCATAAAACATCTTCTTTGCCATTCATGACAACAGGGAAAAGTTGGTTTTTCCCCTGTCTGATCGAGTTCGACTTGGTGGTTATTGTCTGTACTTTCTTTAACTGGAGAATAAAACGACATCATGGAGTGAGCACCGAATGAAGGCTTCTGGGTCAGTCAAGGCTCAGAAGCACCTACGGATGGTGGAGGAGGGTGGGCAGGTGGGGGAGAGAGGGTGGCAGGCTGAGCTCGCAGAGGGAATGAGAAGAGGAGAGTCGGAAGTATAACAACATTCTGTGCTTCCCACAAACGCCAACAAGTTAACGAACAGGAAGGCCCAGCCTCCAAGAGAACAAGAGATAAAAAAGTGACCATGAATGAGATCACATGGGGGCCAAGAAAACACCAGAGTTCTTGAATAAGAAGATTAAGCAAAAGTAAAAATCACCCAGATTATAGAGGATGGTCAACCAGGGATCAAATGAATGGAGCGTACCTTGATGTAAACATTGGGAATTAAGTTTATAGAGGTCTTAATATAATTATCTATGACTTAACAGCCGATAATTTCTCTTTTTTTTTTGGCAAAAGTATAATGATTCATTTCTTACTGGGAGGATGAGCTGAGATTTTCTGCGTCTCTATGCAGTGTGCACTCACAACTGGAAGGTCTAGTTGCCTTTTCTCTTAGTGATTATTTATCAAGAACGTCTCCTATGCTGTACTTTAAGACAGAACAATCATGTGGGGAAAGGCCCAGCACCAGGGAGCCATGTGGAGGGAGGGGAGGGAACAAACTGGACATCAAGCCTCTACTTGGAGGTCACCAAGTGCGTTTCCCAGAAGGCACGGCACAGACCGTCAATTGTGAGCACGTCTTACCTTTGCTGTCCTATTGAACTCCAAGCAGTCCTGCAGCTCGAGTTTATCATTCTTTGATGCTATCACGGGCCTGGGAACAGCCAAAACCCATTACTTTCTACCATCTGTAAAGGGGCCTCGGCTAGGCGCCTCCCACGGTGGGAGTGAGGGCCTAAGGCTACAAAGTGTGCTCTGGCAATGACCTTGGCGACAAACCCATGAGGAAAATGATCCTGGCAAGAGCACATGCCTGTGTGCTGAAGCCAGGGGCAGACTAGCCCCTTGAGGGGGCAGCCCAAAGTCCGGGAATGAATGCTCCCCCTTCCCAAATTGTAACGTTAGTCAAAGCTAGGCTCCCACTGAGGAAAGCAGGATGGGGGAAGCACACTGGAAGAGTTGTCAGGAGACTCCTTCCATGCCCACCCCACTGCTCACTGGCTGAGTGATGACCTTCAGCAGGTCATGGCCCCACTGCTCACTGGCTGAGTGATGACCTTCAGCACGTCACGGCCCCACT